CCTTAGATTCCGTGGTATTGCGCTTAAAAGGAGAGACTTGGTTGCTTTAGTAGGTATTACTAGCATGTTACATTTTTAAATGATCAATAGTGGGACTCTTGTTCGAATGTCGTAACAAATTAACATTTTATCTCATGTCTACAAATCCATTATATTAATATGTGGTTTTTTTTTTGGTTGGTAAAATTAATATTTACCTGCCAGGAGCTCATACACTAGGAGAAGCACAATGTCACTCCTTCAGAGAACGCATATACAATGAGAGCAACATGAACAAAGAGCTTGCCCAGAAAAGGAGATTAAAATGCCCAAGATCTAAAGGCTCAGGTGACGCCAACTTGGCTCCAATTGATGCTCAAACCCCAATAGTGTTTGACAACAGCTACTACAAAAACCTTGTCCAAAATAAAGGGCTCCTCCACTCTGATCAGCAGCTCTTCAGTGGAGGCAAAACTGATCCCATAGTGCGCACCTACAGTGAAGACCAAGAAGCCTTCTTTGACGACTTTGCGTCTGCCATGATCAAGATGGGAAGCGTCAACCCCCTCATTGGTCCAGCTGGCGAGATCAGGTTGAATTGCAGGAGGATTAATCCAATAATTTAACCTCTATATTGCATGATTTAACATTTAATTAATTGTTTTCATGATTTCTCTTAGAAGGTGTCACATATCAGAGTTTTGTTCTTGTTTGCAATCAGGGATGTGTATATGTTTTTGTTGGGTGTCTTTCAGGGTATCTAAAGAGTTTCTTTTTTGCCTTGCCATTTAGGATACTAGAATTTGGGCCTAGCTCGATCGAGGCCCTGTCCTAATAGATTGTGCTAACAATAAAATCCATCAACTTGTTCACGCGTGATTACTGCTCGAATTAATTAATTAATCGTTTCGGTGGTTAACATTCTAGCTGAGTTGACTTTGCATTCACAAATACAATCCATAATTGTATGGGGAATTCATTGACCATAGCACTTGACTTCACCAATTTTGCTAATTAAGCAATTTCTAGCCAACATACGAATCTGCTAAAAAGGCATAAACGTTACCATTAACAACATTACCATTATAAACGTGGTACCATTGTTGAATATGTAAAGCATCTCAAGAAAAAAGATTCCTGGTTCTCTTTTTCAATTGACTTATAGGGAAGCAAATGATGTTGAACACTACTTTGCTCGATTCAGTTTGCATAATGTAGACAACTTTATTCGGTTTGAGGTGCCCCTTGATCATATTCAGGACGCTCTATTATATGATCTATTGAGTGAATGAGGTTCTCTCTAAAAAAACAACATAGTGTTAATTAATTTGTTTAGAAGTCAGTGATTTAGGGTCCGTTTGGTGTCCTATTTGGATCTAATTTTATAAACTCAAAAACATATTTTAATTCCAAATCTCGAAAAATTCATTTAGTAGACCCATTTTTTAAAACTCAAAAACACCCCTATTATTGAAAACAAAAAATAGTGAGATTCTCTCTCTCCTCCCTCTCCCGTCTCTTTCTCTCTCTCTCTCCTCCCTCTCTCCTTTGCCTTTTCTTATTTTCAATTGGAGAATTAGGGTTTCTGATTTTCTGATTTTAATTTCAATTCTTTCAAGATCTTAAAAATAGTTTGGAGTGCAATGACAAACAATTTTTAAAATTTTTAAATTAGTATTTTAAAACTCATGTTTTTAAATTAAAAAAAAATCATAATTTTTTAGTAGCATACCAAACTGACCCCTAATAATCTTCTGAATTCAATCTCACATTCTCTCTTGTGTATTAAAAAAAAAAATCAAAACATAATGCTCAATTGAGAAAACTTTAATGTGGTAATCTTTCAACTTTGGTTAAACAATTACACACATATAATGGGTTAGACCAATTAACTAAAGCAGTGTTGTCCACTCTGTTTTACTCAGAATTCGAATCACCCTCCCTTAAAATTAAACAATTCAAGAAAAATAAAATGATTAAACAATCTCGGGAAGAATTTAGTTCTGCATCACATGAAAGCTATTATGTTAATCTATTCTCATTGTTGACATCCTTATGATTATATAAGCTAAAGTTGTCAACCCACATAAATGCCATGGCAGTCAAAAAAATCATATATATATTCCTCAACTTTCCAGAGTCGTCATGTGTGCACTCTTGTTTAAAATTCAGTGTACAAGTTGTCTATTCCGGGGCCTAATTAATTTACCACTAGGGTTCTTAAGTTTGTGATCTTTCTATCACTATAATTTACACATTTGTACGAAATATTCCTGCATGACTACAGCTAGCTAGCATTTGGTTTAGTTTCATCCTCGAGATTTGAGAGCATACATGTGCTAGAGAGAGAAACATTGGTCAAATATTATGATTTCTTAATTTATGTTTTGATCAGGAACTTGTTTATATTTGTTAACATAAGCCATAATCATCTTCTAATTCTTCGTAAGGTCAATTAACTCTGACTTCAAGACCCGATTAGTGACTTCAGAGATGGTCTCTAACTGAGCTTGCTAGTCTAAATCAAACCACTTGCAAGTTCCAAAAAGGTGAATTTATCTTCATTAGGAGAGCTAGCTCTACCTAGATTTGTATTAAGATTAAAACGTATAATTAATCAGGGTGGCGTAGGCCGACACCTTCAAATTAAGTAGGAAAATTGAGAGGCATTATCTGGTCCGGTGATAAGCACTGCATGGATAATAAAATTGCACCGACTCGTATAAATATCTCTTCAAACGAAGCATATCTAGGTTTTCTTTCTCATTCGTACTTGAATCTCAAGGCAAGGCTGCTAATCAATATCAAATAAGGAGATCCCCCAAATTTTTTTTAAGCGATAGGTTTTTTATTAATAAACAAACACAAGCACAAGTAAAGATGTGATGAATATGAATAAATCTTATCTCGTGACCAAACACAACAACATGTTGAATTGATCTGGAGAGAATCAAGCACAACCCAAAGATGACTAAAATCCCCGATTCAGCAACCGTAACCACATGTACTCAAACTTGCAATATAAATCCGCCACACAACAACATAGGTTATCTTGAACACCAATATTTTCCTCATTTGCCTATTTCCTTTAGGGGAAGAAATTAGGTAGCAAAATTCCGTTTAATTAGTTGTTTTAAGAATTAACCAAATGGAGGCTTTTGTTAGAATGTACGCAATTAATCAAGCATATCGATCAATTATCAGTTAATGATGTCTCAAAATGTTTGAAAGGGTGTCGAGTGAGATCTAAGCAGGCAAGCATATACATGCATGCATATTCATAAGTACATGCATACTAGACCTTGGGAAACCTCTATACTCACATGCATATTGATAGATTCAAGAGACTCAAGACCAAAATAAACTCAAACAACCCTAATTATAGTTTCCTTCCTCAGCTTTAGTTCCATATCAAATTATTAATTAATCTCCTTTTGGTTTCAAAGCTGTATACACACACCATCTTGCTGTATAAAGAAAGGCATGTAGATGATCGCATTTCTTTGAACAGTTTTCAATATAGAAATCAAAGGGGGTTGTACGAAGACAAGATAAGATGCCACTATTTTAAGCAACCCATGACATAAGACCAAATTCCATCACATCTTGGTTCTAGAGACTTGAATGAGGCTGACGAAATTCAGTAGAGCTCTATATATATATATAATTGAGAGGTAGTAAACAAGGATTGAAATTCTCCATTTGGTTTTCTTGGTTATGTAATTCATGAGGTTCCTTCTTTCTCGAATTCCACTACTTGGGTTGAAATCCACACGCCAAGGAAACCAAACCGCTTTGAGAAACTAATCTAGCAGCTGGCAGGACCATTGACCATCCAACAAATACAGATACATCTACTTCACAAAATATGCTGTAACTTCACTAAATAGCAACATATATACATATGTATGTGCATTGTTTGATTATACTGATCATTATTTCATTTTACAAAACTGCCCTTTACATAAGATCCCTTCCCAATTTCACAATCAAGTTATCCCCAAAACTTTGTAACATTTCTTATAGACAAGCCGAATTCAACTAAATCTACTAACTTAACATATAGGACGTAATTTATGTATAACGAAGAACCATTTAATTATTTTTCTAGCTTTACCCATAGCCACTGTTTTTGTGTTGAGAGTATAATCCCATGTCGGAAATAGAAGACTTGCCATAGTAGTTTAATAAACCAATTTGGACTTCTCCGCTCATTACCAATTCGTTTTGAGTTGGATGCTTATATTCTAAAATTAATAAACTTAGTTATCTAATAATATTATTTAGATTCTTAATTATATCATATATATGCTGGGTCAGGGTTACCAACTTGTCCCTTAAAATATTAGTCCTACTAATAATTTATCCAGAATCACTCTGCAAAGTATTTATTGTCATAGAGTAGAGATAAAGTAGAATAATCGATATCATTACAAGGGTTAACTTATCCCACATTAATACAACATACAGGCCTCCGTAGAACACAAATACTAAATATATGCCGATGAAGATCACAACATTTCACAAGCCTTTGTCTCCTCCCCCAACTTCAATCTATTAATTTCTCCAAATTAAGAATAATTCATGATCCTATATTGGCAGAGGCTAACATGTGCAATTGTCTATGTAGTCTATAGACAAACTAGATCACAGCACGCGAAAATGACACCATGATTAAGCCCAATCCCAACCAAACCTAACATCACCACCACAGAGCTCTCAGCCGCAGATATTTATATATATATTTTTCCCCTAATGTAAGCTGGTATTAGGGTTTCAGTAAAAATTATTTGTTCTTCTGTCTAATTCAGAAATGATAACATGTTTAGTTTTGGTGGCTATAGTGGCCGTTCAATAACTATAACTAGGAGGAAGTAGAAGAAAAGTGGTGGAAATTAAAGTTAATATGTGGCATGAAGAAAGGAACATAACAACCAACAATATCTAGAGACAAAATAGGGACCTAAATTGGATTAAGACAGTAACTAAGAAACTAAAAAACACCCCAAGCAGCCGATATATAATATAAATTATATAATTCTCTCTTTATCATCATTTTATTCCACTTGAAAAATCATCATAATAAGAAAATTAAATGGGATCGATCTCTCTTGATTTCATGAGTCTAATAATAATTAAGATTTTAACCAAAGAAGGAAACATTTTCACTTGAAAGGGTGCTATAGTCCGCGGTGCTTGGTTGATTAGTGTACATAGAAGAAGAGGAGGAGGTAGGAGGTAGAGGTGGAGGCGGAGGTGGCGGGGGAGGCGGCTGTGGGGTCTGTGGCAGGGAAGCAATCGAAACAGCCCCCGAAGTAGAGAACAAAGCCATATGATGAGAATTAGAAGGAAGGAGATTCGCTTCCCTATATTTGTATTTAAGTATCTCACCCCTAACTGCATTGAGCTCAGCTTGTAAAGATTGAACCTGTTGTTGCAAAGCTGAAATCGCACCCATGCATCCATAAACTGGATCTCTTAGTCTCACATTTGCTTCATAAACAAGACTATTTGCAGCATCTGCACGTTGACTCTCCGGCACCTCCTGAATTAATTAATTACACCAAACACGCACGCAAACAAACTAAAATCAGAAATAATTAATGTAATTAAGAACAAATAAACTTGAACGGCAGCGAAGTATCTACACTGCAGTGTTTGTATTGGTACCAAAGACTCTTTTCCCCAAAATGAATGAAAATGATCCGTGCATGATC